GGAGAGGAGAGGAGAGGAGAGGAGAGGAGAGGAGAGGAGAGGAGAGGAGAGGAGAGGAGCTGAGCTGTAGTTAGGTCACATATGGACAGGATCCAAGTGGAGAAATCGGTGGACAGGGCACAAATGGGGGAATGACAGCCTATTCAGTGAGGATAGGAAATGCACATAAAGGACAGATGGAGATGATTTATCTGTGTGTGACTAGAAGGATGGCGATTACAAAGAAAAGAGTGAAAGGACAGGGAGGAAAGGGGAAAAGGGAATAAGTAAGAAGATGAAATAAGCAAGGAATGTCCAAGTACTGATATGAATGCTCAGAAAATCACCAGGCTATTAGGCTGAGCCAGAAGAAGAGCCACAGCCGTACCCAAGAGGGGACCATCGGAAAGACAGAAGCAGGCAATTTAAGTAGCTAGCTACTGGGGTAAAATGAAAAAAATAGAAGATGGAAAAGGTGAGAAGCAAAAGAGGGAAAACCCAAAGGAGACACTGGCCCAGAAACCTTTTTAACTTTCTGTAAGAATCTTCAAGTCCCCAAACTAGGCCAAGATTCTGACTGACATTTCTGAGCTCACCAGCTGCCGTTTCCTTGAGAGAATTCTGACAGGAAGGCATAGAAATGTGAGCCAACACTGCCAGCTCTGGAAAATAAATAAATAAGTAAATAACTGCCCACATCCTAAACACCTCAGTGGGGGCCGAAGCCTGCTGGGAAGGAAGCCCAGAGAGGAGGAGGGACCCGCCTGCAACTTTTCCCCAGGTACGTGCTGAGCTTTCCCGGCGCCGCGCTGTTTTCCCCTCTAATCGTCCTCTGGCCGTTCCTGCCTTGCCCATCTGTCTTTCTTTCTTTGTGAATTTTTGGGAAGCCCTGCGGGCGATCTGCTTCTGTCATCTGAAGCCAGCAAGGCAGCGTCTACCGAAGCAGGTGAAGCTCCAAGTTCTGCATCTCAGACAGCGGGGGAGGACAGCTGGAGTCCAGATCCGACAGGCAGAGCCAGGCAGGGGGAAATGAATAAGAGAAAGGCCCCCCACCCCCAGACTCAGTGCATGAGAATGACTTGTTGGCCAGTATTGAACAGTGGACTTGCTTCTGGGTGCTGGGGCTTGAAGCAAAGCAGAGGGGTAGGAGGGTAGGCCTAGAAGACAGAGGGATAATGAAGGGCAGCTCCAGAGGGGAGAGATTTCAAAGTAATCCCCCAAAGGGGCTGGTCAGTTACCTAAAGAAGAGCTACCAGTGTTAGGAGAGATGGATAAAAACCTGAGAGCATGTGACCTTGAACTTGTGTCTTGTCCTTTGAATGCCTTGGCAAAGTATTTTGCATATCGATTGAACTTTTTTCCCAAGCAACTCAAAGGAATTTATTTTTAATATGTAATTTATCTCAAATATTCAATTTCTGAATGGGGATGAGTTTTCAGATGACCCCATAGGTGTCCCCACTAAGATAATTTAGCTATTTCACTAAGAAATTAAGTCCCTGAGCAATGTATTTATTTGGAAAACTAGGACAAGAACCCCATGCTCCTGACTTGGTCCCTGGACCTTAAGCAACTTTAATCCTTACTCAATTTAATAGGTGCAGATAAAAAAATTTTAAAAAGCTTTTCAAGTAAGAGCTTTGGGAGCTATAATTAAAAGCTGCATCATTATTCTGTATTATTACATTGTATTATATTTATGATCTCGCTGCAAATGTGATAAAAAGTTAAGCGAGTCAGTGGACTCTGCTGGGCTATCTTCTCAAGAAAAACACACATCTCATTTTATACTCATTCTTCACCTAAACTCACAGAAGACTTACTGGTAAAATTTGGAAACCAATGAAATCACTCCTGGTGGCAAGCAACTGCTCAAGCCAAAAATACCAAGTGACTTCCAGTGGTATTTCCATCTCCTTGGAGTGCTGACTGCCTGTCTGCACCCTCATCAGGGAAAGTACCTACAACCATGCCCTTGGAAAGGGTTCACACCTTCCTAACTTCTGTGTGGTTTCTATTCCTCTCCCTCATCTGTTTGCTTTTAGGAAGCTCAGAATATAAGCGTCAATTTTTTGCCCTCAAACTGTAGAGTGTCAGAAACATTGACCTAGAGCAGTGGTTCTCAGAGTGTGGGCCCCAGACCAGCAGCATCAGCATTACCTGGGAACATGCTAGAAACGAACATTCTCAGTTCCTACCCCCAGTTCCTGAATCAGAAACTCTGGGGATGAGACTCAGCAGCCTGTGTTTCAGCAAGTTGTCCACGTGATTCTGATGCACTAAATCAATTAGAAGGTTAAGAGTTTTTAAGGCACTCTTCCTGGAATCCACAGTATTCAGATCTCCTTACATGCTAATCATCTACAGAGCCAGAGCTTGTAAAAAAGACCTTTCAGCAATAACAGCAAAAACACACAACCTCCTGGTTCCTCCATCTCTCCATCTGTAAAATAGAACTATTTCTAATATACTTGTTACAGTGCTTAGAACAGGACCTGCACACTGTAAGTGTTCTGTAAGGGTGGTGGTAGTGGTGGTAGTGGTGGTAACTTTATCCGTTTGACTCTTACTGTGCAAAAGGCCTTTGGCAGGTGGTTGAGAAATCAAACATGAAGCAGTCAGAGTGCTGGCCCTCTAGGAGAAAAGTTACATATGCATGACAGGCACACGAGGAATTAGATGCAAGACAAGGTGTGACTCATGCCCAATTACAGACATAGGAACTAACAAGAGGAAGAGAATTGAGAGAAAATTTTGGGAAGAAAGTGGTTTTTGAACTAAGCCTTAAAGAAAGTAATTTTAACTAGTGAAATGGGCAAAGGAAAAGAATATTCCTGGTGGAAACTGAGCCTAGGGAATATTGGAAAGGTAAGATATTAGTGGTCAGCTGTAGCATTTCTGTCACTAAGATGTTGACTACTCATATTGTACAGAGGGATAACCCCGTTCTGGATCTAACCATTTATCACCATGTTTGCAGAAATTCATCCTTTAATCCAAACTAAGTTATTTTCTTCAGACTATTGTGAAGTGAGTCCTTTCCAGGATTAATGATTTTATTACTATAGAATCCATATCCCTTTTTCTTGTTTGTTTTTAGATCAATGTTTTTCAAAGTCTTCTGGCCACTTGTAACAGACTAAAATGGCAGGGGTAGGGAGGATGGTGGTGTGCAAAAATGCAGGTTCCTGAGCCCTGACCCAGGTCACTTATCTCACTGCCTGTCAGATCAAGTCAGAAGAATCTGCACAGAAAGAGCCGTTCTTTCCTAAATTTGCTGAGCATAGAAGTCACCTAGGAGTAGATCCCCAGCAGATTCTGATCCCATGGCTCTGAAATGTAGTGCTCCCCTACCAGGAAGCAAGGATTTTAATAAGTGCCTCAGAGATACCAAGAATCAGGCAAGGTTTAATACAGCATATTAGAATAAATGAGTGCTTTGGGTGAGAGAGTAACATCAAGTCAAAGGTCTGCCGTTTACTTGCTGAATGATTTTAGCAAGTTTCTTAGCCACTCTGTCTCCAAATTACTTAGCCTGCTTATGGCAGTTCTACCCTGTGTAATAAAATGTCTTTCACAAGATTGTTGTAAGCATAAATCCTCTAAATAAGTGGCTTAGTATAATGTTGGCTCCCTCTACTCCCCTTGCCCTACCCTCTCCCGAAGTTCCAGCTTCAATTCTCGTGGATGAGAAGCAGGGCAAGGACAACTGTGATGGTGAAATGCCACTGATACCTCTTCTGGGGACGGTGGCAGAATGCCAGCAGGAAGAGAAGGTGGGCTCTTGGAGCTGGCACTGTTCTTGGCTGTCCCTGGGAAGTTAAATGGGACTCATGCCTATGATCAAATCAACATTCAGAACTGGCCTGTTCTCTAAAAATAGCAAGGCATTCTGGCTGAGCCCCAAGAAAAATAAGGTCTTTCCCCAACATACTACCCCATGCTTGCCTTAAAAGGAGGGACCTCTACTTTATTTCCGATCTCCTCAGCCAGATGACGGTAAGCCCCAAATAATTTGGTTTTTACTTGGTGAGCAGCAGAATCACTTCTGTTTCATGGACAGCCACCAAGAACACCAGGAATAGATACCAGTGCTTAATGTCATAAGACGTCAGACTTTGAAGTGGGTGCATCAGTGCAGGCCATGCCTTCTGCAGACACTAATAGGGTTCTAATTCTCATAAAATCATGCAATTCTCATTACATTTTAGCCAACTAGTATCAGTTGTTTAAAACTTCCAATCTTCACCAGGGGCAGAGAAGGAATAAGGAGAGCTAAGATGCCTGTATTAGAAATTCAGAGAGGCAGCTACAGGTATTGTTCTGCATAGAATCCGGGTTTTCTACCCTCACCAGCAAAGGATAGACAAACTAAGGTCAGATCTGACATCAGAGGGAAAACACCATGTGGCCAGTAAGGGGACATTCTGAGCATCTCATCACATATATCCTTTCACAAAAACTCCTAAAAATAAGACTGGCATCCTGGACATTCAAAACTTATAAAGATTCTTGTCAGAAATGATACTGATGAATACCTTTCCTTAACAAATCCTTTTAACACATATGAAAATCTTTTTAAATATCTTTAAAAGCACACCAAAATTGTGAAAGGAATGTTTCTGATAATATTTATGCTTTCTCAAGTATCTTTGAATAATCCCTTACATAAAAAACAATTGTCATGTTAATGAACCCCTTTAAAGTAAATCAAATATAAGGATTTCTATGTAGTAAGTAGATTCCATTGATGGATTAATACTAATTAATATGTCGATTGCGTATTAATAACACATATTAAGTTTATTACGCTGATTGTATATTAGTAATAGATAGTTAATAATAGTAATAGAGGCTATTTGTTAGACTTCAAATACTATGCTCACGGCACATTACATAAATTTAATTCCTCCCATTGAGGAAGCACTACTGGCCGCACTTTACAGATGAGGAAACTGAGACTGAAAGAGGTTAAGTAGCTCACTCAAGTCACAGATGTCCAAGACATGCTATTTCTCCCTGAACCCCTCCATGGCCAATAACCTTGAAGATTGCAACACTTGTTTGTCTATAACTCAGTCTTCCCTCAGTCTCAACCTGTCCTTAATTTTACCCAAATCCAACAGGCTTTCTAAGGACTCTTAATGAGAAATGAGCATCCTCCTGTCTTTTTAATATGTTGAGTCATTTATGTTCAAACACTGCCCTGCTCAGCAAAATAAACTGAAAAAGAACCATTATTGCTGTTTCTGCTTTTGAGGCAACTTTTTAACTGTTACTTAAGTCTGGAATGCTTTTAAATGGTGCTTGCTTCTCAGGACAAGAGAAAGGACATGTTAGTAATTTAAGTTGTCTGATTATGAGGCAGGGCTGGGGTGTGGAATAAATCTTGTTTTCAATAACATGTTGAATGACATTTTACATTACCATTGGCCCATTCTCCTAAGAAACTCAAGATATTCACATGTGTTATCTCATTAATCTTCAACCCATTCTTTGGTGGGCAGCTGGGGACACAACTGCTATTTATAGAGAAGTGGCATGGCATTTGGTATAGGAGAACAGAAAGCTGGTGATTTGGTCACTATCACCCAGCACACAAGTGGCCAAGTGACACACCACATCTCCCAATTCTTTCCATTAATAGTGCCTACTAAAGTCAAAAGATTTGGGTAGATGGGAAACCAAATAAATAACCTGGAAAAATCCCACATCCAATTGCCATATAGATGCCCTTTTCTATATGCAAAGCACAGAGAAATGTGTCTTTATGTTTCCCATCCTAGATTTCTTTTCCTGCTATTTTGTCTTGTCTGAAATATGTTGGTTTTGTCATAGTTTGTCTTTCAAGTCTACCTTTCTCTTCATTTTCCAACCTGTTTCATGACTTTTCTTCCTTGTATCTTAAGCTAGATGTCCAGGAAAATGGGAGAAAGGTTTAGACAAGGCTTTCATCACAGATATTCCCATTTCAAACTTTCTCTTGACTTTCAAAAATCTCTGTGCATTCTCAATTTATAAGAATTTAGTTGCCTGGACTCATGAATTGTCAAGCAATTGGTTATTAACATTTGTTTTTCTCCTGCAGATTTTGCAGTAAACTTTTACGTAATCTTTTCGCCCTACAAGGTTAGACTTGGCAAAGCCAAAACAATTCACACCCAAATGTTGGGGACAGTCTGACGGGATAGTTTGTACTCTCTTGACTATCTCAGCTATTTTCCCTGAAAATCTTTTTCTTTTGTATTCTTACATGAGTTTATGAAGTTCATCACTGGCTCATGGATAGCAAGTCTCTTAGAACATAAAACTCAATGGTTCCTCTCATCGGTGCAAACCCTCACTCCTCACAACTCACATGCCAAACACTTATGGAGGATCTCCATCTGACAGGTATAACTAGATAAAATGGACATTTACTCAGCTTTTAAGTTCCCTGGTTCTGTGAAAAAAAATGAGAAATTTTAATTTCTCAGAGGCACAGCCACATCTCTTTCCTCTTTTGACCAAGCTGCCTCCCTGCTATCAGCCCCTGATAAAACAGTGTTTTTGGTTGTCCACTGTTCCCAAAGTTAGAGGAGGAAGGGTAGCACCAAACTCTCACTTCTATGAAGCTCATACCTGACAAAGGGAGAAAACAGTGTTTTCAGAGCAGAAGCTTATATAGAGACTGGATGGGATTAAATGAGCCATTGGATGATTCCCAACATCAGCCTGAAAGATGTTGCCAGGCATGCCAGAGACATTTTCCTATTTTCCTAAGAAACAGTATGGTTTCTAAGGCACCTCCATCAGCAACACCCCAAACACAAAGTCACAAAAGGATAAAGGTATACCAAGTCAAAAACCCATAGAATTTTCTTTCCTTCCTTCTCAACATTTTTTTTCTAAGCCTCTCTCCATGGGTTAATTCAAAACTGTGTCTCCAATCTGATTAGTTTTTTTAAAAGAATTACCATTTAAAAATATGTTAATTAATTCATTTCTACAATCCTCATTTTCCTCCTCTGTAAAATCAGATAAAATTGCTACATTTCATAGAGTAGGTAGGATTCAAGGAGCTCACATAGGCAAAGCACTGAAATGATCCTTTTATAGAAAGCATACTTATAAAAAGTTACCTCTTATTTTTATTACTGGGATTAGATGTTTTTAACCACCACAGCCAGTGCTGTGAGACTCAGACCTTTTTGGGGGGCCAACTCTTCCCTTTGGCATCGTTTTCCCCATTTTCTGGCAGAGAATCAGATACCATGAATTTCAAAACTTCATCTCCCTCCAGCCAGGGTGGCCATCCAGACCCCGAGTGGCTCAACAGCTGCCAATGTCCCTCACCCTTCTGTGGCTCAGGCCTCACAGATTGTGGGGCAGGTGATGGGCTAGGGAGAGCAGAATCCTGACAAAAGGATCCTTCCCACAAAGAACAATTTGTACTTGGAATGCTGCATGGGCAGCTGCCACCATCAACAAGCACCCAAGACAGACAGACGTACAGTAGGAAGTACAGGAGGGCCGGGTGTGTGCTTCTAAGCATAAGTAGCTCTCTGCATGAATGCAGAAAATTTTTAATTTTCCCTTCACTGGATCCCAAACATTAAAAAAGAATCACAGCAAAATGTACAAAATAGCAGCAGTGAATTAATTAGTAATAACAAAGGATTGGATAGACTGTGGCTACATGAGAATAAGCCAGGGATACTTGATGCCATTTACCTGTGAACAAACAGCAGGGGAAGATTTGGTCCCAAGCAGCACTACCATTGCTTGCAACAGATTTATTTCAGGATGGTTTGGGGGGGTGGGGGAGGGCCAGGAATTTAGGATGAGTTGAGATCCCAGTGACCCTTCCCGCTAAGCGTTTCCTGCCTCGGCAAGGAGGAAAGATGCTACAAGTGGCCCACATCTGAGATGCAGGCTGCCCCTGGATGACACTGCTTCCCGAGGCCACATGCTTCTTTATATCCCCATATGGATTACTTTGCTATGGAATGTAAGGAAGTGTGTGGTTTCGGCAAGTGCCTCCTCGCTAATTCCAGGGTACCACCCGGAGCATGGGCTTGGTGACCTTCTTCCTCATCAGGGCTTTGTGTCAGCAAATGGAAGCAAGAGCCTTTGAATCCTATCTGGGCTCCTCCTGAACACCCCTTTCTCCCCTTCTTGAGATGTTCTCGCTCAGCCCAAGGTTTCAGACACACTGACTGCTGTCCCACAGTCCCCCGCTGTGACCAGCCTCCCAGATCTGGCTACTCAGGCCAGCCTAGTGGGGGGAAGGCTTTTCCCCCAAAGGATTTTCACAGAATCAGCCCTCACCCTCCTAGCTCCTCCCTCTGGTCATGTAGCTCCTGAAATGAGAGGTTTCCACAACCAGACTGAATCAACATTTCTTTCAAGCCATGTGTTTCACAGGCATTTCTCAGGGCTTTTGTTGTACAGAGGCAGGTGCTGTGAGTGAAGTTCAGGAAACCATAGAAAACAACTCATCCTGGGTTACAGTCCCCTGACTCTGCTCTGCTGTCCTTTCCACTTTGCAGCATCACCCTGTCCCAAACGGACTCTGCAAGGCTATCTGAGGAAAAGCCTTGAGATGCTAAAGTAGTGATTCACTCAGCTAACGGGCTAGTTCCTTTCTCTGCTCTTCCCTAAACCTCTGTGTTCCCAGCTCTGACTCCAAAGGGCTTGAACCCACGCCAAGAAAGTGCTGAACCTACAGAGGGAAGCCCTGAGCAGGAGGGGAGGCTGCAGTCACCCAAGACTCATGCCATCACCCCACAAAGACTTTCAGAACAAGGGAGGAAGATAAAGGGGCCTCCTTCCCTCACTTAAACCCCAGTTCCAGGATGGCTCCTGCATCCCACAGCTCTACCTCCTTGTTTTTAGGGTGAGCGCGTGTGAGAGATTACGTCTGGTACCACACTAAGTTTACACCATGAGTTCTTAAGCAAAACCACAAAAGGAAACCTGAGAGGATTTGACCGAAGCGTGCAGAGATGCACAAGACAGGGCTGTCAAATGAAACTGAGCAGCAGCAGAACAAGGACACAGGAGAGGAGGAGAGGGAAGGAAGAAGGGAAGATGCACCATGTTTGCGTAGAGATGGCAGAGGAGCGCAGAGCAGCTGGCGATGAGAGGCCCCCTGCCCTCAGAGGTGACAGCACCCAGAACACTGGGCCAAGGCTCCCTCTGCACCAACTGGGCTCAGCAACAACCATGACACAAGCCTCCCACCTCTTCCAGAAAGCAGAGAATTGTCTAATGGTCTTTAAGGGCATAAAATCTATACTTTGAGAGGGGTGGTGGAAGGGACTTGGAAGGACATGGTAAATTACCAGAGATGGGTCTGCTATAAAACTAAGCACCGAGACTTCTCACTTTAGATGAGTGGTCCTTCAATTGGAGACAATGTCATTACCCAGGGGCATTTGGCAATGTCTAGAGACAGTCTCAATTGTCACAACTCAGGGGTTCCTGGCATCTAGGAGGTGGGAACTAGGGACGCTGCTGAACATCCTGCAATGCAGAGAACAAACCCCACCCACCAAAACAAAGCAAAGAAATATCCAGCCCAAAATGTCAATACGTTAAGGTCGAGAAACCTGGCCTTTTTGATAGTGGTGCTTTGAATAAATGAAGTCTCTGACATTGACATATCATGGCACATTATATTTTCCAATGAAAATTACTGTCCTTTATTCTAAAAACTTTGGTCTTCATGTCTGTAAAACAGGCAGATCGCTCAAGGTTGTGCTTCTTTCTGTTGACACTTTCCCTTTCCTAAATCATACCTGTTCTAATGATACTCTTCCTTTTCCTACCCTGGAGATTGATTTCATGTCCTCTGCTCAGAAACTGGGGGTATGTTGTATTGGTGGCTGTGCTGCTGGGGGTGAAGCAGGACATGAGTTAAGTAGAGAAGAGAGAGATGGAGGGAGCAAGTGTGCAGAATTGAAGAAACTGCACAAAAAGAGGCTTGTTATTCTGGCTGGTGAGCTGGACACACATGCTTTTCAGTCCTGATTTCAGACCATGGGGCTGCTCTCTGCCCCTACAACTGCCTGCTCCCTTGCTCCCCAGGAAAAGCTGGAGAAGGAGAAGAGGTTAGCCAGAGGAAGAGCTGGCAGGCAGCAGCTTCACGACAGCTATGTCACTGGCAGGAAGAGGGAGAAGGTAAGATGCCAAGACTATAGGGCCAGGAGGACACACACCAAGGAGGAGAGGACTCAAGCCAAGACAGAAGCTTCAACGTAACCCTGCACAGACCATTCTAGAACCAAGTCACGTTCTGTGGTGCCCTGCCTTCTCACCACCACCATCACTGTGGGCTTTTACCTTGTTGCCATTTCTGCAGTGCCTTATTGAGTGCTTCGATGTCTGGGATATATTGATTATTCCATATAGAGCTCCCAAGCTGGAGTCCATCTTGCAGAAGTCAGCTTGACTGGTTAAACTCGTTCTGTGTTTCCTGACCAGCAGTTTCAACTACTTTAATGATGAAATGCAAACACCTGCAGCTGAGGAAGGGAAACATGTGAAGGACAAGGCTGGAGTTGAGAGTGAAACTCTTGGCCTCCAAAGTCGTCAGGATTGTCTCTAGAACTTTCCCACACCCCTGACACTGTCCATTGTACCCCCTGGGGACTCAGTGCACCTTTCCTTCATTGTCATTAAGCCTTGAAACAAGCGGGCAGAGTAGATACAATGTTCTCCTGCTGTACAGATGTAGAAACTCAGGTTACAAGATGTTCTGTAACTTCCTGAAAGCCAAAGAGCCAGAGAAGCACTGGTGGGGTTTGAACCCAGATAAGTGTGACTCCAAGGCCACATGCATTCCACTTAATTTTACTTGTCTTCATCAGGAAGAGAAAATGAAAGGGCCACAACACCTAGCCCCCAAGGGAGAAGGACAATTTTCTAGCATCATTCAAACTAGCCTTTCTGCCTACCTCTTTTCCCACCTGCTCCCATACATTGTGAAGAAGGGCAGGCCACCTTTCTGGGAGTGTCTTCTTCTTAGTCAGCTCTCTCCCCCTGCTCACACCTCCCTAGAAAAGAGAGAAACCAGTGAGTACTCCTGTTAGTTCAGTGATTCTCAAACTTTGGCTGCGTCGGAATCACCCGAAGGGCAGGTTACAGCATTAACTTCTGAGCTCTACTTCCAGATGTTTGGGGCTGGTGAGTGTTGCCATTCTTTTACAAGACCAACCTACAAATCCAGAACTGTCCTATAAAATCTGTAAGATCAAAGATTTCCCCACCTCCTTTGACAAACAGTTTAGTCAATGCTACCCTCTTGTTAAACCAAACAACCTCAATGTCTGTGGCTGGGAGAATAAATAAATTATAGGATATTCACATAGTAGAAACCGTAAAGCAATGAAAATTAATAAGCTGCTGCTACCACATCAATATGGATGAATCTTGCAAATATCATTTTAAATGAAAAAAGCAAGTCACAGAGCAATACCTATGATACGATGCCATTATACACTAAAATATGCATATATATTGTTTGGAAATATACGCACAAATGGTAAAATCTATGAAGAAAAATATTAAAATTATAAGAAAAAATAAATTCAGTGTGATAGTCACCTCTGGTGGGAAACATAAAGAAACAAATTGGAAAAAGCATTCAATACAAAGAAAGCAACAGTATAAAACAGCATAAAAAAAAATAGTTCTTTTTAAAAGGTAGATTGTTGGGCCAGGCATGGTGGCTCAAAGCTGAAATCACAGCACTTTGAAAGGCTGAGGTGGGCGGATCACCTGAGGTCAGGAATTTGAGACCAGCCTGGCCAACAAGGAAAAATCCCATCTCTAATAAAAATACAAAAATAGCCAGGAGTAGTGGCAGGTGCCTGTAATCCCGACTACTCTGGAGGCTGAGGCAGGAGAATCACTTGAAACAGGAGACAGAGGTTGCAGTAAGCCAGATCACACCTCTGCACTCCAGCCTAGGTGACAGAGCTTGACTCTGTCTCAAAAAAAAAAAAAAGTAGATCGTTGTTCATGGGCATTGGTTTTACCATTATGTACCATCACTTACATATTATAAAGACTCTTTTATAACTATATCATATCTGAATTAAAAATAAAGTTTTAAAAATGTTAAACAAAGAATATATGCCAAAATGTTACATTTCTTTTGGAAAATGGGAAGAGGAAGAAGTATGGCATACTGTCATTTTCCATATTCTATAATTCTATGTCATATTTGTCTTTCATGATGTTCCTATTTGAAAAAATAATAAAAATTAAAGAAAAAAATAAATTGAAGCCATGCAACACAAAATACAAATTATGTAAGATTTGTATGTAGAAATCATATGAGATGTATGTACAAATCATGTGCAAAGACATTCTGGGCAAGGCAAGCTCCTGGCGTTTGACAGATGCTAATGCTGCTTCTTTCTGCATTACAGGCTTGGACAACTGGTGCTTGGGACACACTGAGGTACCTACACACTAGAGGCTGCAGTCACCTCTGAAGAAAGATGCCCCTTGCTCTGGCTGGTCAAACGGAACCAAGTCCGTCTTCCTGAGAGGTTTGGTCCCCTTCAACCAGCTACAGCAGGGCTGGCAATGCCCAGTCCTTGGAAAAACAGAAGAGATTCACCTGTGGCTGAAATTACCTACTAAAACTTTCCTTGATAAAACAATTTTGTTTTTTTCACCACACTCTCACGCCCCCAGGAAGGAAGAAAAGAGGAATCCTGGAGTCAAAACTGAGCAACATTTTAATGCTCGACACATGGTGTTCTATGTCTTTGCACTCACAACTGCAGCCACTCACATACCTTTGACACACACAGTCAGGAAAGAGTTGGAGGATGGAGTTTGTGCCAACCCTAAGCCAGCCAGGGGATGAGCCTGAGACACAGAAGACAGGGCTCCTGCTTACCAGGGGCTAACAGTCTAAGGAAATAAATTAGACATGTAAATATGGCACGATCCAACTGAATGGCAAGTCAGAGCATGGCTGTTCCAAGGCATAATTCTTCTTACATATCCCACCAAATACACCTAGCACATTATGTATCATCAAGTCTCTATTGATCTATTCAGCCCAAGATACCTACTCACTAAGCACTGTGCATTTCTCAGTTCTCTGATCTGTAGAATGGGGATAATAGTACCTGTCACACCAGACACAGTGGCTCATGCCTAAAATCCCAGCATCTGGGGAGGCTGAGACAGGGGATCACTTCAGGCCAGGAGTTCCAAATCAGCCTGGTCAACAAAGCAAGATGCTGTTTCTACCCAAAAAAAAAAAAAAAAATGTTTTCCAGTTAGCTGGGTATGATGGTACACAACTATAGTCCTAGCTACTTGGGAGGCTGAGGCAGCAAGATCACTTGAGCCCAGGAGATGGAGGCTGCAGTGAGCTAAGTTCTCATAATTGCAACCTTTTACTAAGGTAGAATTCTGACCTGTCCTTCCAATTTGCCTTTTAAGATTTGTACCTTTTATGGTGTGTGTCTGGAACCTAGATAGTAATAAGTAAATATTTGGGTTTTAAATTCTATAGAGATGTGTGTTCGCATGCTGTATTCTGACACAAATGGGATAGCATAAGTGCCTAGAGCCCCCCGCAGTGACCTCTGAGGAGAACACAGAGCTTACTTGCACACATCTGTGCATTCAGGCAGACCTGGGTTTGAATGCTGCCCCTCTCATTTATTAGCTGTGATACATCCTCTCTGCAGCTCAGTTAACATTGCACAAGTCTTAGTTTACTCATCTGTATAATGGGGACAATGATACCAACCTCAGTGACTGTAAGGTTTAAAGCAGTGTTTATAAAGGGCCAAATACAAGCCCTCACGACATGGCAGCTGTTGTTTTGCTGTTGCAAATGGCAACAGCACAAAGACCATGCTGTGTCCACAGGTACTTGTATGTGGAAGGAGAAGGCCAAATTTAAAAAAAAATAGGAGAGGCCGGGCGCGGTGGCTCAAGCCTGTAATCCCAGCACTTTGGGAGGCCGAGGCGGGTGGATCACGAGGTCAAGAGATCGAGACCATCCTGGTCAACATGGTGAAACCCCGTCTCTACTAAAAATACAAAAAATTAGCTGGGCATGGTGGCGCGTGCCTATAATCCCAGCTACTCAGGAGGCTGAGGCAGGAGAATTGCCTGAACCCAGAAGGCGGAGGTTGCGGTGAGCCGAGATCGCGCCATTGCACTCCAGCCTGGGTAACAAGAGCGAAACTCCGTCTCAAAAAAAAAAAAAAAAAAAAATAGGAGAACCCAAAAAATAAATAAAGGCTCATTATAGGGTATTTTTATATTCCAACTATTAATTCTACTAGCATGTAGCATACATGCATTCATCCTATTACATATGACTAATATGTAATATGCTTTACTTTTAAAAAATGCTTTACATATGAGATTGATATTACTATTCTAAATATCCTGTCTGTAAAGCCTTCCTTTGTGAGTGCTGTTGAGATCACATGTCATCCTATATAGCACAAGGAGGGTGAAGGCCATGGAGTGTGTATTCCAAAGGGCAGTACAGAATGGAGCTCAGCTGTAGGTGCTGGGTACAAACTACCTGGGCTCAAGTCCCAGCTCCCCACTCTCCAGCTGTGCCACTTGGTCAAGTTGTTTGACCTCTCTGGACCAGGGTTTCCTCATCTG